ATGTTAGATTTGAGCTTTGGTTATTGTGTCAATACTATTCCTAACTTTCAACATCAGCATGTATGCAGAAGAAATTCAGAAACATGGGCAATTCAATTAGAGAACTCTTTTGATTGTTGAAAATGCAGAGTAAACATGGTGCTGACCAGCAAAGTACTTCCGTTTTTCTTTCAGCCACTGTCACGGTTTTGCAATAACAATAGCCCCAAAATAAATCTTGCATAACATGAAGAGAAAGTTATCAAACTTCTCCTCTGGCCTTTCATGGTGATTTGATCTTCAAATATCTACTTGTAGTGGAAATACCCTTCTCATTGATGGTTCTTCTGAGGTAAATTAATTTTTTTTAAGTGTTTTTTCTTTAGGTCTAGTTTCAGGCTTGAAGCTGTAGATTTATTCCTAATTACTAGCCTGTAGTAGCACACCAATGGGGTCAAAGAAAGCAGCAGAACTTCTTCAAGTGGGGTAGGTTCCTTCCACAACCCAGAAGCTCTCAAGGAATTGCCACCAGTTCTATCATGCTGTGAAATCCCTTTTCCTCTGTCTTTTAGACCTATTTGCAACTCAGAGCATGGTGAGAAGAGAGGTGGAGGCTGTCATTGTATCTGTCACTGGAGGTGACAAATAAAAAACCTCTCAGATTGTCAGAATAGGTAGGATGTGCCGTTACCTAACATTTGCAATATGCTTGGTCTTGTCACTTCTGTCCTTGTGCTGATGGTTGGGTAACTGCAGATTATGAGCTGTAATACACAATCAGTGAATAGGCTTCCATAATTCTTTAGCTGACATCTAAACTAGTGGGAATGATCCTTGAGCCCCTCAGCTTTGACCCTTTACTTAGGGGTCTCCATCTTTCCTGAGATGGGAGGAATTTTTTCTTTCTTTTTCATCTGCTTCTTGTCCTGTTTTTGCTTTCTAGACCACTCTTGATATTGGCTTGTTTTGTTAAACCTCATGGGTGAAAACATTTCTTAGAATAGCCTCTTCAGTCACAACGTCAGCCTTAACACAGAGACCAGCTGTTGTCGTATCATAAATGTCCTTCTTTTTTCTAATCACTATAATATTCCAACTGTTTAACAACATTTTACTGTTCCTTACAGTTTTGAGGAGAAGATCAATTTCCTTTTCTCCCCCTTATGTTCTGCACTGCTCTGGTCTGGGAACTCTGAAGCTAGCCTTCTCCCTCAGAGCAAATGTGTACTGTTTGCTGTTCCAAAAATGTTTTCATGTCTAACCACAGATATGTTTTCTTTGGAAGACTTCCAGTCCCTGTTTTAAAATTTTGTGGCTTATTTTGTGCCTACTCTGTCTCTTGGATATCACAGTCTCACTTTTTTCCCCACTTTAGTTTTGTTTTGTTCAGCAGCTGCTAAAAGCCATCATGGCTGTTTTTCTACTGCACTAATTTCATCTTCACTGGGCTTTTTGTTTATGAATTCATAGAGCAGTTTCCTGTCTGCTATCCCTACCTGTTTCACACACATGCTCCCTTTCCCACACCGATGTGCAGCCAGAAAAGTATTCATGCAAAGCCAGGTACTGAGCTGTGCCAGCCTCTCTAGCATGGGGCATGGTGGAGCAGGGTGACCCACAAGGTCCTTACACACAGCTTTAGCAGAATACTGGCAAGCCTCCTGCAAAGTCACAGGAGGATTGTGTGGGCCTGAAACAGTTTTGGTGGAGTTCTTTTTGCTGTTTTTTTTTTTGTGTGTTTTTTTTTTTTTTTTTTCCCTTTGGCTTAGTGTTTTGGCCTTAATCTGAACTACAAAACTTGAAGCCTGATTCCAAGCCTTTCTGATCATGTTTTCTGAGCGTATCTATATTCTCATATCCTATACTTGCATTACAAAATGTGTGGGCTAGTAACCATTTGATTACTTGTATAATTACAGCCTTAATCCACATGTAGCCTGAAGGTATTGGCATCTCCCATGCCAAACATGGGGATGGGACTTTTGAACTCCAATTGGTTTGCCTCTAAGGGAGTATGAGCAGTAGCTTCAAGTCACCACTGAAACCTGGCTTTTGTCTGTGTGTTTTCTTTAACAGGCACGTGTTTCCCACCAGTGGGGAGTAACAATTAAACCTAAGCAAAAACCTGAAACGTCTCCAGCCGAACATTTGTTTATTGAATCCCTGCATTTTCTCAGGCAGTCTCTGGAATTACATCAGTCTCTGCATTACATAAAACACACTGTAACTGCAAAGCTATTGGGGTGCAAAGGGACTGGTAAAGAATCACCAGCAGAGCTTTCAGTGCAAAGGGTGGAGTGGCAGGCTGCTATGTGGAAGGGTTGTGTGCCACTATGGCTGCAGTGCAATATTCTCAATATTCTCAGGTACTTTGCAAGTTTGTTTTCTGCAGTCCATTTTCCATTATGCACTGAGTGTGGAAATACAAACTGTTTTGTCTGCACAGTGTCCCTTGTATAATTATCTAAATGCTAGTAAAGGGTCTTGTGTTGTTTTTAGTTACTCTTTCTTTATTTCACCTACATTTTACTTGAAAATCACATTCCATATTTTTCTTGGATGGCATAAGAGGTTCTTTAGAAGTTAACTTTCAAATATGCAATGTCTTCCAGATTTCATTTCTTGCAAGCATGCTAATAATAGGTTTCCTGAACATACAGAAAATAAAAAAGCTGCCTGTCTCTGCAAAAGTAAGAGCAAGAGTTGGTCTGCCTCCCTGCTTAGTTGATTCTAGTAGGAGGAATGGCCCACAGACCTAAAATTCTTAGCTGCAAAATTTTTCTTAATGCATACTGCTAAATACTGCGTGATCTGTCAAGCTTGCTGCAAATAAAAATACTCTCTCAAATCTGCATCTCTAAGATACTGTCAGCTTTCCATGAACTCTGGCTTGCTAGGAAGAATTCTGCTGTGCTCTTGACTGTGAAGAGCTGAGGTGTGGCAAATAAGGAATGGTACTGAAACAAATTAGGGACACGCACAAACAAGCATGGTTGTCAAATACAGACACCGGCGTGACAATTACAACAGTATCCCGTTAAATTGAAATCATATGTGTTTTACAGCTTTTCAGAATGAAAGTGACAACTGCAGCTGATGGCATTTTCTAACATACTGGATGAACATGTGTTTCAGATGTTCCCATCTCAGCACTTAAAAATTAGATGCAGGTGATATTAGGCAGAGGATGAAAGGACACTATCATGTTATAAAGTACTGAAAAAGTTTGCTCATCTTTCTTTCAGATGCAAAACACAGCTGATTGCACTTACCAACCTCATCTTACCAACCTCAAATATTCTATTTATATATCAGCAGACTGTTCCTTTATACAGTATTTGTTCACCAACAGTGCTGCAAAGTATATTTCATTTCTCAACTGTTCACCCCATATGATCTCAGAAAAACAGAAGATCCATTTTTAAAGGTTTTCTTTTTTTTTTTTAAATGTTTTCAAAATTTCTTTCTTCTGAAGTTCTAAATGTACATCATTACTTATAAAATTGCTTTAACATCTTGTTATCAAGTAGATGGTCAATGTCTGGGGGATTTCTCAGTGTCAGATTCCTAAGTAGTATTTTCATAATATGCCAGATTCTAGGACTTATTCTGAGGTGCGCAGCTCTCCCCTTTCACTGACACTGAGTCTGTGCACTCAGGTTTCTGCTTCCCAGGGCCATATGCACAAGTTAGTTTTTGGATTATCCCACGTAATTTCCCTCCATGGTTCACTGCAGAAATTGTAGTTTACTTACTGGGGGCTGAAAATACCATCACCTTTTTTTGAGATGAATGGCAGACTTAAATTCTGGTTTGGTGTGTAAATTCAGGAAACAAGAGAAAGTCACAGGGAACTCAGGTAATGGTTTGATGAGATAGTACAGTGTTGTTTTTAACAGGGTGCCAAAACTTTGCTTTCACTATTCTTTGCAGACAGTAATTAGCCCAGAGTGACACTAGGATTTCTAAGGACCGTATTTCCAGTGTTTTTCTAGTCTGAATGCCTCTCTTTGGTTATATCCAGCTTTGTCTCGTTTCTGGGAAGGTGATGTTTTTCAGCATGGTGCCTGATTTTGCTTCCTGTGTGTCCAGGTTCATTTTCCATGGAGATCAGAATGTGGCAGGGGATGATGGAAACCCAGATGTCATACTGATAGGGAGACAGGGTGCAGCTGGATCGTTTACACAGCCTCAGGAGTTGGGAAATGATCTGAAAATATCATTTTAGATGGAGCTGCTGGAAGTGGATATTACTCATCCAAGCTTTCATCAATTAGATGGCCCTTTAGTTGCATATGTTTGTCATATGTCTTTGTTCTGCATGGTGAAATGTGCTTTCAATTCTAACTTGTTCATCTGGAAAATATTTTACTTGTTCATAAATTTATTACTAATGAAGAACAGCAATTATTTCTATTAGTTTCAGTATGATTTCACCTTAACACATGACATTCTGTGTAGTGTTTACTCACTGTCCTTTGACTTCTAACCTAGTATCTCAGAAGCCACACATGTCTATAAATGCATTTAATCCAGAAAAATGCAAATTAAGAATGGACAATTCAGAAAGTAAACATGTTCATATTTTTTGTATGTTTCATATTACTGTAGGAAAATTTTGCAAATTGCTGGAAGGAAGAAGGTTAGATCAGATGCTCAATAGACACATTACCTGCAATATATTTTAGCAGTTGAACAAAATAAGCACGTATGAGCCTGCCTCGTTTTGTTAAGAAAAACTAATGATGCTCCCTTAAAGCAGTGGAAATTAGCAAATTTTAGGAAGATTTCTCCATAGAATGTCTCTATATTTTCTTTTCAATGTTAAAAAAGCTTGTCAATGCATGTACTGTAGAATATAAAATTTTATGGTGATCATCCATATGTAATCCCTATTACTGGAGAATAAATATAAATGGTTGAGCATTATGAAAATGTAAGTTAGTTTGGTAACATAGTATTTTAAATGGCAAATAAAAGGAATTTTGTAAAGGCACTAAAAAGGTTTTCTTACTTGTAAGTGAGGTCTGCTGTGGATCCACCTTGCTGTCTGAATGCCCTCATGAGGAATGGGCTTGGAAGTTCTTTTTCTCTGACACCAGAGCTCACAGCCAAGTCATGCCAAGTCTGACCCGTGAAAGAGAAATGGAATATAAGCCATTACCCAAAGCATCTCTCCAGCTGGACATGGTAAGGCGTGTAGCTGTCAAAATTTTTCTCATGTTGATCAAAGTATTGCCTCTGATCCTTGTTGTAAACGGCATCAATATTTAAAAATGGAAAGGTTTATTTTCAAGAATTGGAACCTGTTATAACCAGTCTGTGTTAAGTTGTGTAGTATTAGATCTTCATTAATGCTTTTGCAGATATCAATCTTTTATTGCTTCAAAGCATGTCTATACATGCTTCATTCATTTGTATAATTCTCTTTTATATGGAATAATTGCTACAGTGGAAAAACAAACATAAACCAAACTGGCTGTCATACTTCTTTCCTTTCCTGAATAAGAATCATATCTTGTCAGCCCAGGTGATTTGCATGAATACAAGCATCCCATACATCTCTGTTTGCAAATGGATTCTGGCTGCTCTTCTGAAAATTACCTAAGCATTTAGATACCTTAGTCTCCCCAGTGAATTTTTGTTTTAGTTTTGATTCACCTACAGTTTATGTGGTTTTGATTAGTAGAAAAACCTAAGCTTAACATCAATGGAGGCTGAAATCTCAAGTGCCTAGTCTGAGGATGATTTCACATTGAATCTCTCTTTGTGGGAACAAGTATAGCAACCTTTGTTAGTTTGCTATATTTGGTGCATGTGCGTATGACTTCTCTTTTAAATCTCTCTGAAGTGGGAAAGATAAGGCACTCATTTAATGCCTATGTAATTAATTACCTCCTAACCCACAGCAGGTTGCTGTGAATTCCCAAATAATCAGCAACAGGTACTGGCTTCCAATTAAAGATCTCCTTTTTGACTGTGACATTTGTTGTTTTCTTGATGCTTCCACTTTGCTTCAAGTCAGTCACTCATTCTCTTGCCATCTCATTCTCTCTAGAAGGTCTGCATCAAGTAAAAAGAAACAGCTATGACCCAACCTTTCACAGGTATGTGCAATCTTATCATCAATCTGTCACTAAATGCTTTAGAATTCAGTTCATGGAACAAGAATGTTTTCTCTTAGTGCTTTGGTGTTGTTAATACTTCTTTGCTACAAAGAGAGGTTTCTGTAAGTGCATTGAAGAGGGCAGTTTGTTTTCACAAAATGCATGTGTTTCTTCTTACTTGGATTCTAAATCATTTACAAGTTTTAATTTCAAAAAGGTGAATTAAGTGAGCAGGCTTATTCATGTAACTCTTGTACATACTATGGTACTTTTATTGGTCCAGAAAATGTTTGCAAGATAAAGCTGGAAATCAGCAGTAGTTCAGTGCAAGTGTTGCTTCAGCTCGTAAAATTTGGTTTTCACATTTTTATGTGTTGCTTTAGCTTGGTCAGAAAATCTGCTTACTTCTCTTCTTTCAATTGCTTTCTCCAAAAACTGAAGGAACTTTGCAGGAATGGCAATTCATTGGGTCCAAATGTGTTTTCAAAACAAGTTGCTTGTCTAATGATCTTCTGCTTTCACAAATTTTCAAGTGTGCATTTATGAAAAATAATGACCTTCAAAGGAAGTGCGTATTAGAGTTTTTCTCGTTTTCCTGTCTTCCAGAAGAGAATAGAATATAATCATAGACTGATACTGGAGATGCCAGTGTGCCTCACAGGAGAGAAAGTCTCATTTTCTCTAGAGTTCTTGTCTGAGTCACTGGAGATACAGGCAAGTGGGACCTGGTCAATCTAGTAGACTTTTCTTACAAAAATAAAATTGATAACTTTCTTAGTGGATTTTAATTCTTAAGCAGTAAGATAGTTGAACCTGTTATAAGTTGATAACTGGTTAAAATGAATATTTATGAACAGAAGAACATGATTGAGCTATACTGAAATCTTCCTCCAAAAAGTTGTAGAAAGAAGTCAGCAGGCTGCCTTTTTCTTTAGAGGGCCGCCGTAACCATATCTGTAAGCCTATTTATGAAGCCTATTTATGCTTATAGTCTAACTGTACCTGTATGCATAGAGAAATTTTATTTTGCCATTGCTGCTGAGGAAATAGATCTGAGTGTCATACATCTGATGTTTCTAGACAACTGTGTATAATGTCTTATGCCAGTCAGAAAAGCCATCTTGAGTTCTGGGAAACATTTAAAAAGAGATTATGAAGAAAAAAAAGAGAAAATAAGAGAAAAATCATACATGTAATGTTGAGGGCAACCAGATGTGTGCAGTTCTACAAGGATTGATTAAATAGTAGGAACTTCAAAATCACAGAATGGCGAGGAAGCAAAAATGATGATGAATTTGAAGAAAAGTCATTGTAAAGATATCATAAGTATTGTAAATATGCGCTTGTATTAGGACAGAGTCTGGACTTGAACTTTGCTAGGCATTTGGCCAGATTAAAGGAAAAGATTATTCCTTTTGTGATTCTCAAGTTACATTTAGATTCTCAGCCTGCATTCTAGAATCTTCTGCTCATAGTATCTTCCTCTCTAGAGTTTCACAGAAATGGTGAAGGTATCTATATGCTCACTGCAACTAAGTAATAGTATTAAAGGTAACTTTATTTAATATTTAAAAAAGAAATATTCGCGATTTTTAACAACAGATGACTTGGGCTTAATTTTACAGGTGACAAAATTCTTATTCCAATTTTGCACGCAGAAATAAAAAAAAAGTCTATTTGCTGACTGAAAAGTCCGTGGAAGATTGATTTCAAACAGAAACTTTTCCAGTGGCATCAGTCATAATTTTTTTCTTACAAAGAAGAATAAATGCAAAATTTGTAACAAGTGTGCAATATCAAGCAGCACTATGTGTAAATTTCCTGGGATTTTCCCTTGTTAAGTGATAACAACATAAAAATGGAAAAAATTCCCAGAATGGGAAGCAATACATTTAAAAAAAAAAAGTAAAAACAGGGAGAAAGTATCAGTCACCTGATACATAACCAGGATGTTTGTATTAGGCAATATGCAGCACAGACAGGAAAGAGGAGGCCAGCATGCCAGTATTTGTATTCTCTATTCTTTTAAGGAAGAATTCAGAGTGTGTGTTCAGGGATTTCCCAGTATTTCTTTCAATGACTTCCTCGATGGTTTGCAACATTTAAACATTAGAGAGTAATATGCTTCTGGTATTTTAACAAAATACGTGTGAAATGAAACATGAAACCTGAGAGAGCAAATCCGCTTCATGATGGAGGTATGATACAGAATTGAAAATACAGCAGCCAGCTATGTGAGGGAAGAGTAGGAAGAAAAGGGGAATGATGCAATGTTGTTGTTTGGTTGTTAATGTGGTACTATTGTCACCAGAATGAAATTGTTGGTGAAAGTAGGAAATGAGAGTTGCTATGAAGGAACACGAAGTAATGGAACAGGAAAACAGCTGATGACAGAAAGGACACAAAATTAACTCTGTTGTGTTAAGGATGGAAGGAGAGAAACATTGGAGGGTGATGAATGCAGACAGCTGCTGTAACATTGAATAGCCTTCTGTCAGGGCTGTAGAAGTACAATTTAGATTCAAATTAAGTGGCCAAGGGGAGCTGAAGCTTGCATGCAATTAGCAAAAGGAGAAGATGGACAAAAACGTATTTCTGAGTGCACGGAAATTCCAGGGTCTTTACTTTCATTGCGATGCAAATGTTCTGAATCTTCCTTACCACCTGTTCAGGTTTGCAGTGTATTATATAGATGCACATGCAAATATACACACAAGTGCATACACATACTTAAATAGTCAGCAGATGTTCAAGGGGTGCTGTTTTCTCTCATGGCTGCTGCATGCTGTAATAACTGTAGGGCACACAGTGCATTGCTCAGAGCTGAAGCGGCTGAACAACTCAAAAAGGTGCCAAACTCATACTGATAATATAGGACAGTCAAGCAGGAAACTCAAGCTGGAGTGTTAGAAAGCAGATATTCTTTAATATCAGCTCTGCATGCATGGGGGTAATCCTCCTATTGTGCATAGCTTACGCAAAAGGTCTTCAGTTTATATACATTACTTGTGTTGCACATGCAGAAGTTTTCCAAGAGGTATGTTACCTACGCAGAAATTATTTACTGTGAGGGTGGTGAGACACTGGAACAGGTCACCTAGCAAAGATGTGATTGTGAATGCCTCCTCCCCAGAAGCATTCAAGGCTGGGCTGGATGGGGCTTTGAGCAATCTGATCTAGAGGGAAGTGACCCCCCCAACCCATAGATGGGCTGGAACTAGATGATCTTAAAGGTCCCTTTCAACCCACACCATTCTATGATTCTGTGACATACGAGTTTCCCTTAAGTACATCACACATTCAGTGACCGATTCCAAGCAAGACCTCCTCCTTCCTTGATAAAAATCTCCTTGGTTCAGAGACAGCTCTTTCTGTTATCTGAACAAATTGCAGGGCAGGGATATCCATCAGTGAACAATCATGAGCTTAATAATATTGTTACAACTTGTATCAATATGGGTTGTGTAGAGGACAGAAATCTATCTCACTGAGCAACATCTTCAGGAAGCAAGACAAAGACAATTCTGCTTTATGTTCACAAAGTTACTGGGCAAAATTTTGGGTATTTTTAAAAATATCCAGACCACAGGAAAAGGTGAAGTAAAACGTTGTATTCCTCAAGTGAACAGATAAACACTACTTTAAAATTACAAGGACTGTCATACCACAGTTTTCTCTCTTGCCCATTACTCGAACAGGCAGTTTAATCCAATTTAGACATACTGCAGTTTCGTCATGCTGCTGCTTACTTTCAACCAAAACTGCAAGCTCTTTCAAAGCTATTTCAGCCACAGAGAGTATATAATTTGATAAGGAAAGTGATTTTTGACTACTTCAGAAGGAGCACATACATGATTTGATGAGTAAGGATTCTTTCAACTATTTGTGTGCGTCTTATACCACAGAAATCTAACCATTTTTTGCTGTATCCAGAGGAAAAACTATGTACCTGGATTTACAGCATAGTCAGTCTCTGTTGTATATTCTGTTTCATCTTAGGAAGTTTTAATTTTTTTCTTGCAAATGCTTGAAGAAGTATGTGCAGAGTAGCCTATTAGATCTCCTTCCTAAATAGATCAAATTCCTGTCCCAAATTAAACAGGACCAGACCTTGAATCTTCATGTGATCTCGAGGAACATGAGCCTGTCAAGGAGTGGGATCAGGTCTCTGAACTTTGAGAGTGTGAACTCTATACTGTTTAAAGAATTGTTGGATGAGGTCTACTGGAAAGCTGTCCTGAGAGGTAAAGAAGCGGAGAAAGCTGACTACTCTTTAAGGATGCCTTTAAGGATACTCTTTAAGGATGCGAGTACAAGGGCTCTCCATCCCTCTAAACAAGAAAATGGGCAGAGGAGGCAGGAAACAAGCATGGCTTGTCAAGGACTTGCTGGTCAGACTGAGGGAAAAGAAGGGATTGTACTGGCTGTGAAAACAAGGGCTGTCACCTGGGGAGAATATATGGATGTTCTCCAGATTGCAGAGAGGGAATTAGGGAAGCCAAGGTGCAGATGGAACTGAACTTGGCAAGGGATGTTAAAAACAATGAGAAGAGATTCTATTAACCAGAAGAGGCAGGACAAAGAGAGCATGCTTCCTTTGGTGAATGAGAAAGGAGATCTTGCTACAACACATATGGAGAGAGATGAGGTACTCAATGAGTTTTTTTGGCACAGTTTTCACTGGTTTCCAGGATTCTTGTATTTCTCACGTCCCCTAAGTGAGACCCTCCCACCCCCCCAAGTTGTAAGGACAGAGCAAGTTCATATCGTCTCATGGGTTTGAATGTAAACAAGTCTATGGGGCAGATGACATGCATCCCAGGGTCCTGAAGGAGCTGACTGATGTGGTTGCTGAACTTCTCTCCATTGTATTAGAAAAGTTGTGGCTGTTGGACAAAGTTCCTAGGGACTGGAAAAAACAGAAACATCACTGCCAGTTAGAAGAAGGGGAGGAAGGAGGACCCAGGAACAGGCTGCCAGAGAGGCTGTGGATTCTCCATCCCTGGAGGTGTCTTCAGACCAGGTTGGATGGGGCCCTGGGCAATCTGGTCTAGTGCCAGATCTAGAGTTTGGGCCCTGCCTGTGTCAGGGGGGGTTGAAACTTGATGATCCTTGGGGTCCCTTCCAACCCAAGCCATTCTATAATACTAGATTAAAATTTGCAAAACATCCAATAGCTCTCTTGTAATTTTTCATATCTAGGTAAAATCTCTTGAAATCTTAACACTTTTCCTAACTGAAGAGACAAAACTTAACATCTTTTGGCCCTTTGTTGTGGGATGTGAGAAGTGCAACATTTGCTTTTCCTTTTAGTATCTGAACCTGTGTACCTCCTGCCAGCAGGTCACTATATGCTGTATAAAAATGTACTCTTCTTTCCTGTTTTACACTGACCTGCAAGATTCATCAAGTACCTTAAAAAGTAGGATTCGATGAATCACAGTCATGTCTTCAGTTGCCTATTCTATTTTGTAAACTTTGTTCAAATTCTCACTAGCCTTCTCTCTTAACTGAAACACATTCTGAGTTTTTCCTGCTCCATTCTTTTCACCATTACCAATACTTTTCCAACTCAGGTACCGACTTCTCAACCTGCAGAAATCTCAGCTGCACAGTGAGCACACAGAAATTATATGTACAACAGCAAACCAATGACCTCTTTCAGTCATCCTTGGTCCCTTCCTTGATGATGTCCAACATTTTGCTGGTTTTTATTTGTGTATTATTGCACACTGAGCTGATGATTTCAGAGAATTGTAAAGGACTAGGCATCTAAGCTTACTTATAGCAAGGAACCTACAGCCCAGCAGTGCCCAGTGCCTGGGTACAGCCTTAAGAGAGAAGAGTGAGCATTTTATGCTGCTATCTTCCCAGATCTAGGAGCTTGATATTGCATTCAGTAATGTTATGTTACCGTAACAGAGAGTTACAGTACAACAGTTGCCATTTTAGCTCCAGAAATCATGTTGGAATAGCAAAAATGAAGAAAACTATTTCTAAATAAAGCAAATGAAAATAGATTTTTTAAAATAAAATATTTATTAATATATTGTAACAGATAATTACATTCTCACAAGCAAATTCTGTGTATGCATGCTGCAATTTTTTTCCATTAGCTGAATAACTCATGAATTAGACGTAGAACCAAGTCCTTCTGCAGAGTAATGAGTGTGTGAATGTTTCTTGAGTATTCATCATTAAGAATAGCAATTCCCATAGAAATTACAAAAGTTGTCATCTCTTTCTATCCTGCATAGAAACTAGTGAATAAATATATCTATAAATACCATGGAAATCATAATAAATACCAAACCCACAGTCTTACAGATTCTGCAGGATAGATTTTTGAAGTCTTAAATCACAGTCTGCAGTCGGTATGAGCTGACTGTGACTAGGAAACTGTTGTTGACACAACATACTAGAGCACTCCAGGGGAGCAGGAGGAATTACCAGTTTGTTGCTGTAATAGCAAAACAGTAGGTCTTAGTACAAACAAGCTGTGCTGTAAGTGCATTGCACTCAACTGATTGTGTCTGACTGAAGTGGCTTCCAAGGGAGCTTCATTTCCCCTAGTAAGCCACTTTTCCTAATCAGTGTCTTCAGTTTCTATGGACAGTGAGTCCCACAGCACTGACCAATATGAAAGGTTTCCTTAAATAGATGCAGTTAAATAAATAAATAAATAGATACAAGGATCTACAATTAACATGAGACACCGATGTGGAAGGTGGAAGATGGAATGCTGCATGATGCTTTCTCTGGATGTTTCTCCCAGTGGAAATCAGGAGCAGTTCTGAGGTTTTTTCCTGTCTCGAATTTCCTCACAGTGGTGCATCAGAATTGAGCTGAGCCCTGTTATGAGGTGAGGAAAAAGGTGATTTAGAAGGTGGTTCCAAGGACAATTGTTGTGGCTTAGCATTGCATAAACAGTTAAAAGCAAATGATCTGTTTCCAACTCTATCTGCTGTCTCAAGGCACAGAGAGCATAATGTTTCAAAAGCAGTTACTGGAGTGCCAGTGTTTGTATATCCGGTGCTCAGCTAGGAAACTTTTGCACCATTCAGTCATACCAAAGAATTAATTAACTTGGAAATTACTTGGAATTATTTATATAGGATACTGAAAGTAAGGGGAAGATCATTTTTTAAAAGCCCCATTTTTCGTGAGGTGTTCCTTTTCCTTCAAATGGAGTTGCTGGTTATCAAAGGTTTAGCTATGGCATAGTCATTGAACAAGAACATTGCAGAAGAGCCCACACAAGAGCCCATTTCTATAATTAAGCAACGTTTCTCCATTCTTTACTTCTGAGTAAGAGAAAATGGAAGCTTACACTATGAAACCCGACAAGTTGGCTTTTTTGGGAGGTTTGCAACTTAACTGCCCGATCTGAGAGTGAATGGGACTTACTTGGCCATAAGTGCCTTAACGATCAGCTGCACCCAGGGAGCAGTGGGGTCCAAGCACACCTCTCTTCCATCCTTTAGAGTAGCTCTGCAAAACAAGGAAGAAAGAGAAGTCAGGAAAATAGTACATGGGTTTGTTTTATGCACAGAATATGGTACTGCATGTTTAGAGCTTGTGTGCCTACGCTCACAACACTCACACATTCCTCAAAATTTTCCTCAGTAAATGTAAGCAAGTTCTAAACAAATGCCTATAACAGTAAGGATTCTCAAAACAAGCATGAAACATCCAATGACAAAAGACATTTTGATAGTACATGGATGGCAGCATTTTACTCCCACCTCTGTGCTACTCTAGACCAGACTACTTTCAGTGTTTCCCTACATCTGACTGAGATAACTTACTTTTTCTCTCTGAGATGGGCCATGGATATATTTTACTGGGAGTTTTGCCTGCCTAGTAAATGTAGGATTTAAACTAAATTATTACCTCATGCATTAAGAACTGACTAGTCTTAGTAATCATGTTCTACCATCATAGAACAAATACTGAAAAGATCCAATGGCTTGGATTGGAAGGCATCTTTAAGATCATCAAGTTCTTGATGATCACTTCAGGCATATACAGGCTCAGAGACTATGCGAAAAGCCCACAGCCACAGCATAATGTAGGTTGGGAAGAGAGAGGCCCTTGCAGATGATTTACTTACATGATTTCAACATTCTTGCAGTGGGGGCCACTTGGTGTCAGCTTCACATCTTGAATGGACTTAGGGTGGATGAACTTAGAATGAGTGCTAATGCACTGGCACCGCAGCTCGTTCCCCATCTTTACCAGGGTCCTGCCTATGAGCACAAAAGGAAGATTGCACTTTGAGAGCCAGTTACCATTACTGTATCAGCCAGTGAGCATGGCTGCTCTATTTTAACAACATGCTGAAGTCCTACATTTGTTCTAGGTGCCTAAATCCTCACAGTATAAAAATCTGTTTCTTATTTTTTTCAGAGGAGCTGATGCCCAAGTACATTTAAAATTACATCAACATGTCTTTTTAAAGTAAAACCGTATTTTGTGTTTACTTGTACTGACTGACAACACTGTGCAATTAATTGCATCATTTAGTATCTGGATTGACATACTGGCATGTATAAAGGAGAGCCCTGTTATTTTTCCCTAATTTGAGGCCTGTCTTTGCTATGTTTATATTGTTTGTACTTCACTTGCAGCTGTAGATCGCTTGCCTGAAACAGTATGATCATTAAGTAACAAATAGGAAATACTGAGTGGGAAAATACTGCCCTTTGTGGGAAGGTAGAGCAACTTTCAAACATTTTTAAAGAAGATCCTGTCTCTAGCCACCTTATGCTTTAAATGAAATACATAGACAAAGTTAATTTCATTAGCATCCTTAAAATATTTCCCACAAGATGTCAGTAACTCTTCAGTACAAGAGCTACAGTAGTAAACTTCTGTCTGAAGCAAAACTGTTGAAAACATTTCAAAAGAAATGAACTTGCAGAAACTAGCAGAAAGCCGCCTCTCTGAGGACACACATCTCAGCAAGTGCCAAGATAGTGCTGCAGTCCTTTGGGTACAGGGAGGGATTCACTTACCTTGCGACAGAGCTGCTGAAAGCAGGAGGAGAGCCAGGACTGCTCCAAGCTTGCCGTTCATGGTTAGGAGTGTTTGGCTTGTCTTCTGAGCTGAGGTTTTGTGGAGCTGTGATCTCTCCTGTCAGAAGAGTGCTGATGTCTGAACAGGGAGACCCATTCTGCTTTTATACAGTTTTGTGCCTGTGTGCAGGGCTCTGCTAGCATGTAGATTGCGTTAGAGGAATTTCCCAGATGTAGTAAAAATGAGTCACATGACTGTTGTGAAATAGCCTAGCTGATGATGAATTATTCTGCTGCAAATAATATAACGTATTAATTTATTAAAGTATGTAAATGATACCCATGCAGTCTAATTTCTTCTGTAGGATTTTGTAAATTTTGCTATTTCTGTAATGTACATACTTATTTCACAATATAACTTTATGATGGCTTCGGTTATATTTATGTTGTAATTCTGTTATGTTTTGTTTCTTCATGGTAATAACTGGTTTTGTGTTGCTAATTTTAATTTTTTTATTATTATTATTATTATTATTTTTGGTATTTATATCCATTTAAGTGGAATTGTACAAATTCATCTCCAGTTTTTTTCTGTTCAGTAAAGGAACTGAGGGTGCAGTATTCAAAGCATCCTGATGGATATTTAGTTCTAAAGAACCTTGAAAACCATTCCTGCATTTTTCTTGTCACACATGTTAGAGTTTGAGGAAATTTTATATGCAAATGCAACAGTGAGACTTGCTGAATATATCTGCTTTTGTTTGCTTTATAAATGTCAGTATTGTTAGTAACATGTTTCTCTTTCAGTTACGGTAACCCTAGGTCTTACACAGGGAAATCATAGTAAATTTTATGATACTATTGTAAACATTCTTGTTAAAGAACTTCATTGCATGAAATATTGAGTACTTGCTTGTTCTGGCTGGTAGAAATAATGCTATACAGTGGAGACATTTTAAGGGAAAGCTTGGGTTCAAATGCTCTGTCATATAAATGAAGATTTGTTATTTTTACCCATTTGGAGTGTGTGTGTTAAGGTGAAGACATTCCGTCTGATTCTGTAAAAATACTGCCCTTTTGACCATGATGACTTTTGCTGTTTGTCATCCATATCCTCAAAGTTTCATGTTCTGTGGTCTGTGGACTTACAGAGGCACTTCTCCCCAGCTCCAAAGAGTTAAGAAAAACTCATCTTCAGTGTGTTTACTAGTTTATAATTTCTTATACTTCACTGTTTACTACTGGCCATGAACTCATTTGATAAAAGGAAAATCCATCTGTTTCCCATCGCTATCTCAGCTGACCCAGGAAAAATTATAGCCAAATTTGACTATACAGCCACTTACTGAGTCAACAAAAAATACCACTTCTGGCTGAAAATGGTGCTTCTCCTTAGCTGTATATCTTACAGAGCTTTCCTGAAAAATACATTTTGTTTTCTGAAGGCATGAAAAGGGAAGGAATCATACCAGATACCAAATGTTTGTTTTATTGTTTATGTCAAACTTCTAACAAGCTTATTCTGAACAAAGTTTGGCTGATTCTTTTCTTTAGGGATGTCTTTCTTTGTCTCCACATATGTATGCATACACACACAGAGTAATTAAAACTTGATTTGGGGATACCAATTTCTTTGCAATTATTTGCTGCTTTATCTTAGTGTGCACTGAAATGCCATTCATCCAAGGTGAAAAAAATCCCCCTTGAATTCCCAATTAGATTCAGTGACTTTTTGCCCTCCTTAGTGCTAGAGTAAACTATTTCCTGAGTGTGGCAGTAACAGAACCGCAAAAAATCCCCAGGACAAAAACGGAGCCAAGAGCCTGCTCCACCTATATGATTAACCCTGCCCCGGGGCTAAAAACAAGTATCAGTCTAAAAGAGCAGGATGTTTGTAATGAAATAAAAGCCCACTACATTTTCTAAGAGCTAAAGCATCTCTTCTCACTACAATTTTTTTTCCAGTATGACACAGTTTCATAAAAAATACAAGAGGATACATAATAAAAATGTTGTGGCATAGAAAGTTTGAGATGTGAAATCAAGCCAAATTCCTGGCACACCTAACCTGTGTACCTGGGAGCACTTCACCCAAGTTCTCACTGTATTCCTTCAACACTTTGCCCAGTATTTGATCCCAGTCTCTGCCTCCATGTGGGAACTCCAAATTCTTTATTTGATTTTGTCTGTGTGTGTTTTCCCAAGAACAATCTGAGATGACTTATGCAAATGGAATTGCTTTATCTTTTCAAAGGTAATGTCACTGACTGAGCTGATACTGCCATGAGCAGAGACCTTCCATGCTTAACCATGTTAAAAACATGCCACTATATTGAAGAAGTTAGAAGTTAGGCAATAAGCCAATTACTGAAAGACTACTGAAAAGGGAAGGAAATGCTTCCTTTGCTTGTGTTTAAGGCAGCGTATAGGATGTGTTCTCCGTGCTGCAGGATGTCAAAAACTACTTCTTTTTTTTTACATGACTCAAAGCATTGTGTAATGAACACAAGAGTCAGAAGTCAATTTTTTAGGGTCTTGGCTGGCATCACTTGGAATCTTTGCATGTAGCAGAGGACACACAAACAGAAGGGATGTGGTTGGTGTGGTAGGGATTCCTGAGTACTCTAGTGACCAAGAAAGACCATCATGAGGGATGGGACAGACGTGGACTTCAGTACCTTGCAGTTTCTGGTTGCCTCAATTCAAGGTAGATGCTCTAACCACTGGGCTGATAAAGTTCCTCTCTCTGGTAAAATTAAGAATACATCTTTTTTAATCTTCTGAAGTTGCCTTCATTTCCCTGCAAATGGCTTGCTGGCAGCAGCAATTTCAGTTGACCTGTGGTGCCTTGAAGGGACAAATAGTCACTTCTGTTCAAATACTGGGCACAGTATTGTGCAAACCCTCATGGAACTTTGCTGTGAGGCAACCCGTTGGGAGCAGATACGTAGAGAGCAGACTGTCTCCTGAACATGTTTTTTACTTAGTGTATTGAGGAAGTCATAACAAGGAAAGGGAAAAAGCTTAGGGCAACTTGTGGGGTTTTTTTCACTTATGTGTCTAAATATAAATGATTATGTACCCTTAGTCTGATCACCATTAGTCTTGGACTTTGCTGAATCCCTCTGGAATCACAAGACAACAGGATAGCTTTTTTAAATTGATTTACCTTTTAATTCATAGATTTATAAATGCAGTGGTACACGTATGTATTTATGTGTCTGTGTATAAGTTACAGCTCTGCTTCAAAACAGTCAGTTCTTCATTGTAGTTTCCATTTAAAAGATTGTTGTAGGCTATACAAAATATTTCATTTGGTACAATTCAATATGAAGTCGTTGGCAATGTTATGTATCTAGTAATTAATGATACAACAATATGCATGATAATATTAATGTAGAATATTAACAACTATTAATATATATATATTTGATCTGCCTAATATTAACAGAGGAGATGCTAAATCCTACTAGAGATTGTGCAGGGACCAGCAACTAGAGTTTTATCTTCTGGATGAAAGCTGCATTTATTCCTTCAGTCACATTTTCCTATCATGACTGTGGCAAGAAGCATTTTCTTCCTGCCAAGCAGAATATGGAAGTAAGATAAGGAAGTGATGGGAGGAAACATAAGAAGTTTGAAGAAGTTTGTCCTGGGAATTTTTGATTAAATTAGAAGCGATCAGTAGGCAATATACATCATATATTAATCTCTGGTTCTTGAAATGTCACACTGTTATTTTTCTTTCCCCCTAAACTACAGCCAAAAAGGTTTGCAGATGTCAGCATGAATACTTTCAGGTAGTGCAGGTTGTTTCAGTCTGAGCCTCTCATCAGACAGCACACACAGAAGTGGTATGCTGTGCTTTATCATGCTTCAGCCATGCAGCTCTTCATCCCTCATCTTGCTGTATCTGTCAGTGTCTTATCTCTAATCAGAAACTAAAGCATAATGCATACCACTTTAAAAATAACACAGGCAGTTTAGTAATTTAGTATCACTAATTTAATCTGCTTCTTTCTGAAAACCACTAGTTGGTTGTCATTAGGTTACCCTGAGGCTGACTATGGCTGGCTTAGAACTTCTGATGAGACATAATGAAGCACCTCACAGAACATAGTTTAGTTGCTAGTTTTCTGGCAGTAGTAAAGAATCCACACCTATCCATTGTTTGCAGCTGTGCTGCAAGTGTACTCTGTCAAATATCATTCAGCTGAAGCCACTTCTAAACATACTTCCATCTTCTTTGGTGACTGTTTGACTAGTATCCCCCATTTCAGTGAATGGCATCTCTCAGACATCTAAATCTTTTGTTAAAAGATCAGTTTTAAAGATACACTTCCAAAAATTTATTTTCTTGGCACACATAGAAAATGAAGCCAGCTTTGGTCTTTGTACTACCCATTATTATAACTGTCAGAAACAGCTGTCATAAGGATCTCTGCCTCTTTCTCGAGGACAGATCTTTCTTGGAGAAATGGATATGGATTTACTTCTATCACATTCACCCGGGGATGCCTTGCTTTTTAAAGAAAACTCCTAACATTATATTTATGTGGGTTGGGTTTCTTTTTCTGTTTTAGTTTGGTTCTGAAGTCCTATTCACTGCTGAGCCCTGATCTGCCACTTCTAACACGCAGCTTCATACAATTGTGTGTCCTAATGACCAGACTGGAATGTCTCATTTTTATAGGAGTTTTGGAATTTCTCCTCCTTTCTGAACTGCTTTTGTTATTTCCTGCACTGCCCTTCATCTGGTATTTTACTGCCTAATCTGAATATCCTAAGGTCCTTCAGCAGTTCATCACAGTCGATCTTAGTCTTTCCTACTCTTCAATTAGTGTCATCAGAATACCATATCTCGTAGCTAATTAGCTTCCCAGACCAAAAATGGAAATGCCAAACCAAATTGGACTCCTCACAAGCTGGTGTAGGAATCCCTGGGTCACTTCCCTGTTCCATAAAAAGATGACTTTTTTTTTCTTTTCTTCATTTCTACGTATTCTCCCGTTATTTGTCTATATCCAAGTCTTCTTAACACCAGTGGCTCATCTCCACCAGGGCTGTGAAACCCTTTCAAAAAGGCAACTTGACTAGAACTGTGGGATTTTCCAATCCACAGGCTAGTTGTCACCTTTTAAGAACTTGTAGTACATGAAAGACTTCCTGCACCAAAATTTCATCACTTGAACAAATTAGATTAATATTATTATGTCCACATGTTCTTTACTACTTTCTGCTCTGATCATCTATTTATCGTTTATTCTCTTCTGTACACCACGTAAATCTTACATCAAGGAAGTATTATCATTACTATCATTACATAACCTACCAACCGAGAATAAAAGTACAAATAGGAGAAAGATGTACAGAAAAGAAAAAATACATGGACACATTAAGAAAAAAAGATCTTGTTCTTGTGCAAACATTTCTTAAAATTTAGGGTTGGGGATACATAAAACATGGCATGAAAGTATAAATATACTAACTTACTGGCAGAGGCATATTTCCCTCCCAGAAACTGGCACACACTGACTTTTAAAAAACTTTTTAATTTTGAAAGATAACGAATTGAAGACTCACATCTCTTGCAAAAAAATCAACATTCACAGTTTTAACGAGCAGTATTACTCTTGCAAAACAGCGTAGCACTACCAACACCTCCCTATGGCCAACCCAAAATAAAATGGCTTTTACTCCTCTCTCTGAATTGAGGACTTCTGTCAAGCTTTCTCCACTTAGTTTAAATGCCTTGCACAAAAACTTGTGCCCAACAGAGTTACTTTGACAATGTTGTGGACTATATTTTGATAGTTATTATTGTGCTCTCAATTTTGATAGTGTCTTATGCAGGCAACTAGTTTCTGCTGTTCTGTGAAAGGACCTTGGCTATCATTTTTAGTTTGGCTGAAGGGTTTTAGATACTTAGTTCTGTACCAGAAGTTTTTCTACTCATTGAGCAAAAAACGGCAAGCTTAAAATGTCTGGTGGATTGTCAGTTAAGTCACTTCAGCTATTCTGAATATTTAATTTGTCTATCTATGATAGGAGGATGTATTTAACAATGTCATAATAAAATTTGGTTCAGATAAGCACAGAGCAAATTCGGTTTTCTCTGTAACATTCTGCAGCTAAAATAATCATAGGTGTTTAAACCAGAAGATGAATAAATGTCCTGAGTGAAATATTTCTTGAGCACAAAGTATGTATTTTTTTGCTCACTGGGATATTAAGATATTCTTATTTTTGTGAGGAGAGAAGGGTGATCTCAAGAAAAGAAACTGGGCCAAAATGTGATCTGATAAAATACAGCATCCATATGAAGTAATTTCAGTAGTTTTATAAAATTAGGAAAAGAATTGGTTTTGAAAAGGGTTCTGCTAAATGAGAGCCTTGATGCTGTGTGGAGGAGAAATTATCATATTTCTTGGACATACATAGTGTCTACCTTTTTGTCATCAGGGAGCAGGACTACACTTGGGATGTTAGCTGAGATCAGTAGCTAACAAGAACCCGGTTCAGTATGTCAACATGAGTTGCTTTGCCTGCGGTGGAGACACGTCACATCACCTGCTTTATTTATAACATAAGCTTGTAAACAGCTCCTTGAGAAATTACTGTATCTTGGCAACATAACATTTTCTTTATGTCCTGTGGTTATTTTCTATTCCTTTATATAGTGTTAATTTACAGAAATTGTGATCAGCCAGAGAAAAGGCATTTTTTGATAGAAAATTCTATGACCTCCAAGAGTTAAACAGTTATCCCCACAGCTTCCTAGGGTGCGGTCATACTGGAGACTGATATGCATTGTCTGCCCAGAGCTTTGTGGAAAGAACACTGGACAGTCACTGTCAGGGCAGAAGAGATCACACACCTCTGCTATTGGAAGAGAACTTTTCAGAGTTATGGATGAAACTGTCATGGTTAGCTGCCCTTCAGATCTTACTTTAGGCCTTTAACCCGATTCCCCATAGCATTTTCATTTATAACTCTATCTTCGTAATAACTTTGTTTCATAAATTTTGAGGGGAATTTACTATATGTAATGAATGCTATGGTTCATTTGCAATACATGCATCCATAATGAAACAAAACAACATTGTCTTTCTACACAATCTTCTTTCAGGATGACTGTAGAAGTCAAACTTCTTTGATGAACAAATTGCTATTTCCATGGGATGTGAAGGAAGGTTCTATTCTTGAACTTGTTAACATCATTTCTAAGGCTTTCAGTCACATGGAAATGTTGCCAATGATTTGACATTTTAAAATCCTGCAATAGCCCTAGGGAAGAAAACTGTATTTTGAATGATAACTAATGCCAGGGAGCAGTGCTGGACACCTTCTCCTTGAAGGATAAGGAGACAAAAGGGTCTCCACAACCAGCAGGGCAGGCTGCCACCAGCCAGGGTTAAACCAGGAAGCGAGCACCCCAGCAGGTGTCTCAGTGATGATGCAGGTCCAAGTCCAAGCCAGAAATGAGGCCTTGAGTCACTGGCTGGATAAGCATGGTCCGCAATTAAGAACAGGCATGACAGTGGCTAAGCTGGAGAGCAATACTCCTAGAACATAGAGAGAGAATGAAAGTCCCATGCCAAGTTTAAATGAGGTTCTTAGGCCTGTGGGCAGGTGAATGGGTGGAGGACCTAGATGAGTGCATTAGGGCTTACAGGTGCCCTCTGGACACTGACAACTCCCAGCTTAACGAACGAATGTCCCGAACTCTGGGACAGTATATTTTCTCTAATTCTTACCATGATAGCACACTAATAAGATTTCTGCATGTCATCTTGCATGCATTTGAAGAAGACCTTAGGATTCAGATATTTAGCAGAAGCCAAGTAAAGAATTTCAGTGTACTCAGGCTGCAGCAATAAAAAGAGAAAAAATGCAAGTGAAATTTAGTAGGATGGAAGCTGGCTGAACAGCAGCATGGTGCATGCACTAGATTTTATCATCCAGTACAGATACTGTTCTGTGTCCCTAACAACATTCTGATTTGAAATGGACTGTGCATGTTTCATGTTTATTTATTTATTTTTTTTATCCTGATAGGCAAAAGGATATAGTTAAAGGAAATTCGCTGAATTTTTAAGTGTCTCAAAAATATTTTGCTAGGAGAATTAGTCCTTTCATGGCTTCAGAGTTAATATTGGCAAAGCAGAAACAACAAACACAGAAGTACAGGCCAGGTTTGACAAAGGTAATCATCAACTCAGAAGAGCTGTGGTGCTTCTTTTGGTTTGTGGTGGGGATCTGAGAACTGGAACCATGTTTCTAGTGAGAATTGTTATTTATTCCTAAGAAAGGCCTTTTGTAATTGCATGCTGAACAGAAATACATTTCTGTAATATCATTTCTAGCTAGCTTCTGAATCACTTTTCACCTATGGAGAAAGGAAGGATATGGTTCAGCCTGTGCAAATGCTCTACTTGAGGTCCTAAGAGTAAGCTACTGCTGAAATTTTAGACAGAAGTGTTAAGAGAACAGATTCCTTGACCATGATTCAGCTGACAGTAACTTGACTGGAATTTTACTCGCAACAAAGGCTGCGCACATACTGCTTTACCAATGTTTCCAGTAAAACTGGTCCTAAACCCTTAAGATACACACATGCTTTCATGACTGTGTATTTGGAGTCTTTCTTCCTCACCTCTTCTTGCTTCACACTAAGTAATTGAGGGAGGCCAGCTTGTGAAAATCATCCAGAAACCAGAAGTGTTACTGTTGTAAGACAAATTTGCACAGAGCCTCGCCCCATGCGGCGTTCTGTCCTCTTTATATCTTGAAGATGAAGTCTAGAAGTCTGTAATGCACTGGGACAGGGGCGCAGATCTGAACAGAGGCAAAGTATGGTGGGGACAGTTATCACATTGTGCAAGAAGTTGCTCAAACTGTAATAGAAACTCCCTTTTTATCTTCTTGCTCCATGAGCAAACATACATTGTTTGTGCAGAATATGGAGTGGTTCCTTTTAGGAAAGGTCAAAGAAAAATAGATATCTAAACAGTTGCTCAACTTTCCCATTTTCTCTAGCATTTGCTTCTGGTATTCTAGCTTTTTCATTGTAAATCACTGTGTCATAGGGATTCAGTGTAAATCACTGTGTCACAGTATCATGTAGCCTTACAATCGGAGCTCATTCCTTATGATTTCTCCCGGTATAATCCTCCCTTTTCCCTGAAATTTCAGAGAGTGCTCACTGACTCCACTGCAGTTTATCAGATATGCCTGATTACGGTAAGTTAATGAGAAACCTGGTTCTGTGCCAGATCCACTGCTGACATGCTGTTTTACTCTGCTGCTGTAACTGTGACTCATCATTGTTTGCTCGTTTCTTTCTGCCCATGGGTTTTATCACCCAGTTCTCTGAAAAAAATTAAGTCTAGCAAGAAAAGAAGGAAGTTGACCACTTTTGTATTTTTTTCCTACTGAAAATCATCTGCACGTACTGCAAGCAAGAATTCACAGAATCACAGAATTGTAGGGGTTGGAAGGGACCTCCAGAGATCATCGAGTCCAACCCCCCTGCCAAAGTAGGTTCCCTACACCAGATCACACAAGTAGGCATCCAGGCGGGTCTTGAATATCTCCAGAGAAGGAGACTCCACAACCTCCCTGGGCAGCCTGTTCCAGTGCTCCGTCACCCTCACTGTAAAGAAGTTCTTGCGCACATTGGTGTGGAACTTCCTATGCTCCAGCTTCTGGCCATTTCCCCTTGTCCTGTCTCTGCACACTGCTGAAAAGAGTCTGGCCTCGCCACTTTGCCCCCCACACCTTAGATATTTATAGACCTGGATCAGGTCCCCTAATTCCCTGATGTACTTTCAGTCCCCACAACTCAGCCTCCACTTGACTTTGTGAGACACCTTTATGTGATGCTGAAGGAAAATAAACATATCCTCTTAGATCAATAAGGAAATTAATAGCACACAATACTGAAATAAAAACATTTAAATAAGCATTTATTAGGTACCTAAACTAAGACGTTTTCCACAAATAAATAAGTAATAAAAGCATGAACACTTCAATGTTTTCCATAATAAATAAATAATGAAAGCATAAAAACTTCAATGTTTTCCATAAATAAATAAATAATGAAAGCATGAAGACCATCTACATTCTTATGACAAAGTATAAGCTAATTAATATTAGAGATGCAATAAATATTTAATAGAATTCAAGTGAATAAATAAAGTGCCCTTTTTGTAACCAAAAGATGGCATTAAAACATATGTTTATAGCTTCACAGCAATAATTCACAGTAAACAATACCTTGAAAATGATGGCTCCAAAACTGATGGCTCAGACTTGTGGGTTACTGACTCTGAAAGCCCCCTTTTTCTGGTTTGCAGCCTACACAAGAAGCAGTGACCTAGGTACAGCTGATGCTACCTGTCAGCATGTTCCTGAAGAAAAGGAGTTGTTGGGCAGTTTCTAAATTATTAGCAGTAAGGGAAGACATTATTTAAAGAAAGACCTGCATAGAGTGCACCACATTGATCCTGCTGTGGCTAGAGTAATCTCCATCTCCTTTCACAAGCCTTTTTTTTTTTTCCCCCCTACTTTTTCTAATTTCAGTGGTTTTTCTCCTGTATGACACCTCTTTAAAAGACTTAAACTACAGTTGTCAATTAACTACAAAAAGAGGGAGGATGTATCCTCTAGACGATGGTGAAAGTATGAATGTAAGAGGCAGGAGGAAATGAGCTGCCAGAAGCTGAATGGCGGTGTCTCCCACTTTTGTCTTCCTGGAGGAGGTAGGACATCTCTGTTCTTTGCTTTAGGATGCAGTCTTATTCTTGGTGTCTGCCCTATAAAAAAATAAAAAAAGATTAAAACTAATGGAACAACATCACATGCTGGAATTGCATGAAACTGGCCTCAAAGGATTTGTGCTTTGTCCAAGTCCTTTAAAAGCCATTACATAAAAATAAAAAGAGACATTAGTATGCAGTCACCTTTTCATGAGTATTTAGTAACTCAGCGGACCTCAGTAGTTTGATCCTTCGCTTAACCCCCCTTGGGCCTGATTTTCACCCACTCACCTAAATGCTATTCTTTTTGAAAAAGTTATAGTTGCTTTTAACCATTGCAAGAAAGAAAAAAACAGTCACTTAACGCCTGAATTTCCGAAGGACCGAACACTTGAGCTTAAGTTTGCAATATACTTGTGCCTTATGAGAGTTGTAGCTAGCATTCACATGGGATGTGTGGCACACTAAGGGACTGAACCAAATGATATAATTAAAGTACAAAGCAAACACAGTATTTGCTCCAGTCATTAAACTTCCTGATAGCAACTTCCTTATGAGACAGTATTTTGAACAACTTGTGCAGTGGCTGTTTGCTAGCTTATTCAAAATACTGCTCTTCAATAATTTGTGCCCACAGAGAAGAAAATACTCACTTGTCCAGAATTGCCTTGATGATCAGCTTCACCCAGGGAGCAGTGGGATCCAGACACACTTCTCTGCCATCTTTCAGAGTAGCTCTACATCAGAGAAAAAAAAAGGAAGTCAAAAGGTCTATTTAGTGAAACTCCCTTCCGTAGGCAATTCTGTTTTTTTTTTGCAACATCAGAGTTCTCTAGATATACACTGAGATGTTCTCCCTTAATTTAAGCTGCTATCAGTTGAGGCTGTAGCCTAATACATGCTTTCTTTTTTTTTTCATACATTCCTGTATCTTTGTAGATGGATTAACTTATCTGCAGGACTCACTGTTTTCAAAATTGCTTCTTTTTCCGATAGCTTTGTTTGCATTTGTGATGGTGTTTAATTGAGGAGCTAAATGTTTCCGTCTTGATTCAGAAACTCTACTGGCTAGTCCATAAAAATGTCTTCACAGTAAGATTTCTGTGACTTATATGGCAATACTCATTTTTCCATTGACTGCAGTAGAAGTGGGATCATAAAATGCATGTCTTGATAAACTGCTCAGTGCAGCTCAGTGGCTTTAATTCTCTTTCTTTATGTCAGAGGAATTCAGAGTTTTAGATTTATTTGCATGTTTGACGAGTGCAGGTTTATGCTGAAAAATTCCATGTAGTATTTAAGTACAGATTTACAGAAATTATGCATCATATGACATGTATTATGTCATTTGTAGGGGCATCACGCACTGCATTCTGATTAACCTGGCCTGCTGTCTTGTTGCATCTTTTAGAGAACGCTTACATCATCCCTAATGCAAAATCTGTTTCCCTTTTGTTAAGTAGCAGGGAGGATTTTGCAACAGTACTTACATGACTTCCACGTCCTTGCAGTGAGGTCCACTAGGGGTGAGGTTCACATTTTGAATGAACTTGGGATGGATGAACTTGGAATGAGTCTCTATGCACTGGCATCGGAGTTCAATCGCTGAACGTGCCTGAGCCATACCTGTAAAACGAGGAGAAAAAAAACACAGGTAGTGTATGGACTATTTCACTATTTGCCCGGGAAACATGTTGTTTTTTCTCAGAGTATTAGAAATAATTTTTCTTTTTAGGAGTCAGAAGACTTGAAAAATTTGCCTTCACCCATTCTCTTGGGCTGCCCAATCGCTGTCACTATACAAAAACTGTTTGTATAGCAGGCAGTGCCATAAGGAAACGCAAAATGATAATGACTGAGCACCAGCAGTTTTATCACTCTGCTTTTATTTGGCTAATCTTTGTACCTGGCTACATCAGATGTATTTACATGGATTTACTCTTTTCACCGGGGAGTAAAATCTAGCCCCACACAGAGTTATTTGCTGCACTTTAAGACAGAATAATATCTTCCCCCATCAGCATTCACATTGGCAATTAGTTATAAGGGTTTTAGGAAGGATTTCTTTACCTTTTGCTCCAGCCATTGAGATCAGGAGAAGAGCCATCACAGCAGCCACAGCCTTGCCCATCATCTTTCAAGAGTGTTTCTTCTGTGTGTCACCTGGGTTTGGTTCTGTGGTGAGGGGTTTGCTCCTTCAGCCTCGAAGGTGGTCAGTGGCTGTGCTCAGTATCTGCCTTGATTATATACTGTCCTGAACCCCCTGCATCATGTGTGGGTCACACCACTGGAAACTCCTGAACCTGTAGTGTGCTATTGGAGAATGAGTCATGGTGGTATGGGCAAACCCCTTTCCCTCAACTACCATGAACCTGCTTTTCATAAGCAGGAAGCACTTTATAAATTGAAGAATGATAAAAACATAGAACGTGTACAAAGTAGCCCTTTATTTAGCACTGTGTACTCTGTATTTTCCTGTGTAGCATTCTTGTGACTGTTCTTTTCCATACTTTTAAACTTCTGCAGTTATTATTCTGCTACTCTTTGCAACTTTCCCTTTGCAACTTTTTTGCATATGATCTGTGATTTTCCATGTGTGTCCTTGAACTTTGGGGTGGTTGTTTTTTTGTTTTTTGTTTGTTTGTTTTTTTTCTGTGCACATGAGTTCTTGTTTGTTTGTTTATTTTACATTATTATTGTTGGGAGAACTGTTAGAACTAGGAACTACAGTTTTTAGAAATGGCAGATACTAGAACTGGATTTTAATAAGCTCTCCTACTCCTTACATACAATGACATTTAAAAAATGTTTATTTTCTGAGATGATTTATGTTACTTTTTAGTATAATGAAGTCTAGCATCACTGAAATAAGCAACAAAATACAGATTGTCTTTGGAGTACTACTGAGCATTTTGAATTTTGAATTTGATTAGAGGAGAATTCCAGAAGGTTCTGTAGGATTCTCACTCTGACATTATTGAGACATTTTTGCAAATCTAAATTTGGCCTGGTAAAAAAGAATGTTCTTGTGGTAAAATTAAAGGAAAGATGAAAATGTGGAGGAGAGTTATTCAGATATAGTCAGGTATGTACAAACATTTGTATTAATGATAGAAAATAATACTGTAACATAAACATAAGATTGTGGGGTTTTAATACATAAAGGAACCCTGTTATTGTTTTTCTGCCTGCTAGTGGAGACAGTTAAAGGAATAAGACATAGGATGAAATAGGAATGAATATATGTTTATTGTTCTCCAACTCATTGTGAATTACACAGAGATTTAAGTATGCAAAGTTGAATTCTGCTTAATATTTTCATATGTATCGGTGTCTGTATCTATACAAAAATATACAGATAGTGGATGTGTTCTGAATAGTAGCCAAATAAGATGTGTTGACATCAAATTAAGCATCTTTTCTTTGTAAACTTTCATCTTACAGTGAACATAGCTGGATTAGGTAATGTAAGCACCTAAGCACTTAATAATAGCCCTTCTTTTACAAACCCGAGGTCCGCCTATTGTCTGTCCTCTCTTCGACTTCAACCATGGCCATAGGCATATGTCTGGGACTGTGAAAGAAAAGATCTAGCGTACTTGAGACTTATCCCTATTACACTCCCATGCTATGCCTGGTTTGATGCCTTCTGACTCTTTTCTTAGAAAACAGGAGTTAGCAATTGATCCTTATCACTAATTTCAAACTCTGTAATTCTATAGTCCTAGATCTTATTTCCTGCAGATGATCTCTTGTTAAAAAATGCTGTTCTGTTGCCTGTTGCAGCATAGTTTGGGTTATTCTTTCCTATATCTGTTTTTTTGTTTTTTTGGGTTTTTTTGGTTTTTTTTTTTTTGTTTTTTTGACACACTATTTCCGTGAATAGCCAACAGTCTACAGAAATGTAAACTAGGATATCAGTGGAAACATCTTCTGGCCTACAGGTAGAAAGCGGAAGTATGAGCCTGCAGGGTGTAGACCTCTTCTAAATAAACCCAATAAACTGTTCTTTGTCTATCATTTCAGCAAAGCTTTTAATTAACTTAGAGATAAACACCAGATAGTAAGAAAGCAGAAATAATGTTTCCATAAAGCAAAACAAGCAGAAAGTTTTACATAAAGGGCACAAGGTATATCACCTTCATTGCATATGCAGTACAGAAACAGTAAGTTTATCTTCAAGTTAATGAAAAACTTAGATGTCTTACATCTTCCCTGTATAATACTGTGATTACAGTGTAACAACTCTTGAAATGCAGCCATGAGAACAACCAAGAGGAGGATTCTGCAGACTGTGTTTTGAATAATAATTTAAAAATCAAAGACAGAAAAGCAAGAGGTAGTGAGTAAAGACTTGGCTTCAGAAAGTCCTCAGCCAACAAATGGAAAACTTCTTTTGTGGTTACAAGGAGAAGTCAGAAAAGATGAACCATAAATGAAAAGATCACGTGTTTTATTGTAAACTCTTGTGATAAGGGTAAGAAAAAAAAGGTTTTTTTGTGATTAGGGTTAAAAAAAAAAAAGGAGTTATTTCTTCAGTTCATTTCTAACCTTCTACTTTTGGAACTGTGACGCAGCTGAAGACATGACATAAAAGCTACTGAATTTTCAATACATAATGTCTCTGATGGAAAAGAGTAATTCCCAACCCTTACATGTGAGTATTATAAATAAAGTTTACAGTCTCTGGCTGAATAAATGTTTTTTTCTGCCATAGGTTTTATCACTTGTTGGTGATAAAGTTTCTGAGAAGTGTCAGCCCACTGTATGACATGTGCAAATGCAGTCTAGAGACTAATATCCTGCAGCTGACTTCTAACCATGATGTGTGGTGCTGTAGCCCCTGCCCAAATGATGTGACAAAGTGGCATGTTAGATTATTTTGAATCATTCTGCAGGTACTGCTTAAGGTCTAAATTTAGCTAATTTCATTAGTGAAGGCTTCCTTATCTGTTTTGCTATGTCATAGCAAAAGGTAGGAAAGTGCTTGAGTGAAAAAAAATGAGTTCCTCAGATTATTTCCTAGCTTGTTCTCCCCAGCTTTTCTCAACCGCTGAGTGACATGGGACTTCACATTTCCTTATATAACTGTGATCAATGGGGGATTTCTTTCCTGTGATGTTCCTCCAACTCTGCTTTGACCTCATTCCCCTCAGCAGTTCCTCACCACTGTCTTTAGAAATCCTACCTATATGCCTGAAGTTTTAGATCCAGACATCTAAGTATTCTAAGTAGCTGAATAGCTGTGTCAGTGAACATGCTAACTCCTTCCTTCAGAGAATAGTCAGTTCAGCAAGAAAGGCTAGTGCTGCTTCAGCTGTACATTTCCTTCTGGCAAATTCTTCCTCTTATTTTCTCACACTTTTGTAACCCCATATGTAAAATCTATGCATATGTGTGACCTGCAAAGGGAAAATGTGTCAGCTTCTTTGCATCTTTGTCTGTCAGTCCACATTTTTTTTTCTTTTGACTGTGAAACACGCTCTGCTGTGAACCTTCCTTAGGCAATTTGACTGATTTGTGAGGGCCAAATAGAGAATTTCCCTTTAGTTACATATACCAGAGGTATGTGTCTTGTTCCCCTATTTCTTAATTAGGTAGTGACAAAAAAAAAAACAACAAAGAACACCCAACCAAGATGTAAAGTTTGCCAGCTGTCACAAGAATTATTTTTATATGAAAGGTATAGAATAATTGAATGTAAATAGAAATGTACCCATAAGTTATGTGTTGAGTATTCATCTTTCTAATGAGCTTCAGTAGTATCTGAATCAGCACCCTGCAAAAATATTTGCTCATCTTTGATTAGTTAATGTGGAATTCTACAAGCCTAACTCATTTGGCTGAGTCCTCCTTCTCAGAAAAGGCTTGCTGAAATTCTGTTGGTTGGCTGCACACCTCTTCCTGCAGCTGCTTATGCACAATATTTAACACCACAAACAGAACAGAAGTTGCATTCATTTGTTTCTGGGAGGGCTACACATGGAAAAAAGTGTGTTTCCTAAAACAGTCTTCTACTGGGCAGGTGTTACAAAGGTCACTGTGTGAGTGATTTAACAAATAAATATCATTTGGGCATGAAGTTGCACAAAGCCCTATGAGAAGGATGAGAGGCAAAGCTCTGCTGTCCCAAAGTGCTACTTCCTCACTGCACAGGAGGTGATGATCCCTATTCCTGTATTTTCCGTGCAGTCCCGTGATGCTTTCTGCAGAAAAGTACAATTGCAACACCTATTGGTGAATAGTTTTTTCCACCTCCACTGATGATGAAAGCTCTGTTTTGGAGGCAGAGGAAAGCTTTCAAGTTCCATCTTGACAGGGCTTGGCACGTGGATCTCCCTGCAGTACAAAAGAGTGCTCCAACAGTAGACAACACATCTGAAACTACCACTACAGCTTCTTGCTCTGCAATTAAAAATCATCTCTCTTTCTCCCCTTCTAATTTTCTGTTGTTTCTCTTTGTTCATCTTGCTAGCTGTCCTGGATCCTAACGCATTTATTACTCCACCATTCTAAAATCCACTGATGCCAATGTTGAACATTCATTCAGCAAAGTTCCTGAGCCTCAGTCAGAACCTTTATTGTTGACTCGGAACTTTGTTTGTAGTTTTCAAAAGTCTGAAATTGCAGTCCTTTCTGTGCCCTATGGCCTATTCACGATATAATCAAAAGCCATAATCAGGTCAGTTTTGATGGAAAATGTGTCTTTGTATATTCCTGGGGTTTCCCCATGTCTGTAGTAACTGCATAGGAAATGAAGTCACCTCAATAAAGGGAAGCAGAATTGAAACAAAATAAAACAAAACCCACAAAAAATGAACAACAAAACAAAAACTAGCAGACAGAATGCTGCTTAATGAATGATCAGAATATTCACACTACTCAATTTACAGCTACATTTTAGAAAAAAATCACACTAGTTACATTACTTAAAAAAATAAAATTCAGTGGTAGTATTACTCATAGGCTTTCCAGAATGTCAGCCAGTATCACCATATGTTGTATTTCTTATTAGGAATTATTTTTCACAAATATGTTTAAGTAAATGAACACTAATAACAATACATGAGTCAAAGAATTTTTCAAAAAAATATTTTATTTAGTGTAGCAAATTATGACTTCTAGACAGAAGCAGTTCTTGAAAACAAAGATAGAGACTGTAAAATATGTATGAGTGCCATTTGCTTCTATTCTCATGCACACTCACTTACTTCTTTACCTCCCTTTTGAAAGTTTCTATTCTACCAGTTGTGCCAAAACTAGAATTTTTTTTCTAGGTAGCTCTGATCTACTTGAGTGGAAAGGATGAAATAATGATAGTTTTTATCAACTTACTATGTTTTCAAGTCTATTGCTATTCAGACTTGCAAGCAAGGCAGAATTATTAACCTGGCGCCACATGTGTATTGCTGTTCTAATTGTTTGTCTACTGGTATAAATCAGGAATAAGTGAATATCACTGAAGTCATACTTTTGTATTGGATCTAATTACAAAGAGAACAAGGTCCTGAACTCAGATGCAGAAAGATGATGTGAGACAAGACAGCTACTAGACAGACAAAGGTGTGTTGGCCTCAAATTCCAGTGTGTGAATCATTCTGGCATTGTTTATTTCCAAAGTTTCAGCTATGTGGAGAAAAAATTAGTATG